TACAACATTAGCTGGGTGTGGTGGCACAGACCTGTAATCCCAGCTTCTTGGGAGGCTGAGGCCGGAGAACCTGGCCTAGCCTAGCCTCCCACTAGAACCTGGGAGGCGGAGGCTGCAGTGATCCAAGATCATGCCATTGCACTCCAGCCTGGGCAACAACAGCAAAACTCTGTCTCAAAAAAGAAAAAGATTACATTTTTTGCCTGGCCAGAGATGTGAAAAATCTCTGTTTTTACATGTTATAGGCTTACAGAAAGAAACATGAAGAACATATTCCTAGTATTTTTTCCTATGCTGGTCTGAATTCAAGAAACATTTGGTCACTCCTTTGGGAATGGAATCAGCCTGCGTATCTCCTAGGGTGAGAAGGCAGGGGGAAGAAACAGGAAGAGACAACATTTGGCGTTGGCCAGATCCATGGGCTCATGACAGAATGTTCTAAATCACCAATTCAAAAAGATGTCACTGGGATGGCTGTATGGCTTGTGCCTGTAATTCTACTGCTTTGAAAGGCCGAAGGGAGAGGATTGTTTGAAGCCAGGAGTTAGAGACCAGCTTGGGTGACACGGCAAGACTCTGTCTCTATAATATATGTGTGTGTGTGTGTGTGTGTGTGTGTGTGTGTGTGTGTGTGTCTATATATATATTATAGAGGCAGATATATATATATATATATCTCAGGGGTAGGGGTCATGGCACATGCCTGTAGTCCTAGCTACTCAGGAGGCTGAGACAGGAGGATTGCTTGAGCCTAGGGAGATTACAGTGATTTACGATTGTACCACTGTACTTAACCCTGGGTGACGGAGCATAGCCCTCTGCACAAAGGTTTGACCAAATTATGATTTACAGGAAGGACTGGCTTGGCCTCAGGAAGGGACCATTTATTTCAATACCACTGAACTAGGACCAAGCCTCCCAATTATACTAAGTTGTCCATAATCAACCAGGGTTTGGAAAGGAAAATCCCACTCCCTTCCTGGAGAGGCTAAGAGGGGCCTTGATAAAGCACATCTCTCTATCTCCTGATTCAGTTGAGGGACAACTAATCCTAAAGGGTCAATGTATTACTTGGGCAGCTCCTGACATCAGAAGGAAGCTACGAAAACAGGCCCTGGGACCAGATAGTACTTTACAGAACCTCCTGAAAGTAGCCACCTCAGTCTTTTATAAAATAGAGACCAGGAGGCCCGGGAAAGAGAGAGGCGATGCAGGAAAGAGGCAAAAGCTTTAATGGCCATTGTGTAAGCCCACAAACCCCAGAATTCCCAGGGTGTACCTTTAACTGCGAAAAGATATGGCAAGAATAGTTATCTCTTCTAAAGTCGAACCACTCCCATACAAGGCTTAATTTCTTACAGCTCAGGGTAAAATGTTGTTAGCATATTTTACTTCTTGTCTCTGTAATCGGCACAAATTATTTCCTTGTTTAATACGTATGTTTAACTCATGCATACTTAACCTTATAAAACTTGCTTTTTTTCTCTCGAGCCTAGAAGCCACCAAACTTCAGAGCCTAGGATGATGGCTCCCCTTTGCCAGGAACCCTCAGATAGACCTCTGGCAGGAGTCTAACTGCTGTTTTCCTCAAAATGCCCCCTGTCAGCAGGAAGCAGCTAAGACTGGTCTTGGTCCACATTCTAAGGGCAGTTAGATGTACCTCTTCAGAGTAGGGAAATGATAGGGAAGTACTGGGAAGGGAAAAGTGTGGTCCCTTTAAATGATAGGGAATAGTTTCAAAACTATTGGTAATATTTCTCTTGTCAAGAAATGCCCATCTTTTGACCCAGTGATTCTATTTTTAGAAATGTATTCTGACTGGCTCAGTGACTCACGCCTGTAATCCCAGCACTTTGGGAGGCCGAGGCAGGTGGATCACCTGAGGTCGGGAGTTCAAGACCAGCCTGACCAACATGGAGAAACCTCGTCTCTACTAAAAATACAAAATTAGTCAGGCGTGGTGGCACATGCCTGTAATCCCAGCTACTCAGGAGGCTGAGGCAGGAGAATCGCTTGAACC